AAAACAAACAAAAATTCTTTTGCATGTGTTCGCACTGGGCTTACTGCGACACCTGGACTGATTCATGTCCAGCTAGGAAGGAATCGCCACAGGGCATATAAGACACCTGGACTTACGACCAGAAAAGAATCACCACAGGGCTTTCTCAGACACATGACGTGTTTCATTTCCGGCCGTGGTCAGAAAGGAATCAACGCAGAGCGCACTAGACACCTGGCAGGGCTTCTTAAGACACCTGGACTGACTCATTCCCGACCTTGATATCAACATCAGTATTAACGCTACCATCACGAGTAATATAAGAATGAATATTACTTCTCAAATTCATGTCAATATTAAGCTCAAAGATAATATCCGTATGAATGGATGCCAATACTGATACTATTTCTAGTATTGTTATGTATATGTATTATTATAGTTATCTCTCGCTGGGCTTACTGAGACACCTGGACTGATCCATTTTCGGCCGGGAATGAATCACCATATTGCCATAGGGCTTATTAAGACACCTGGACTGATTCATTCCTGACTTGCGATGAACATCACAGGGCTTCGCAAGACACCTGGACACCTGGACTGGTTCATTTCCGACCTTGATACCAACATCAGTATTGACACTACCATTACTATTCATATAAGAATCACCATGAATACTCCACTTGATGTCAATATTAATTTTAGACAATATCCATGTTAGAATCCATGTTCGCAGGGCTTACTGAGACACCTGAACTGACTCATTTCCGGTCAGGAATGAAACAGATAGAATTGGGGAATTCTTCTTTTGCATTATATAACATATACTCTTATGTGAATACATTCTGAAGGAAATGTAAAACTCACTATAGTCGCATGATATACTTTATATTATATATTATATCATATATCTTATATACTCTATGCTAGCATTATTATATAATAAATAACATATTAAAAACGAATTTTATTAGCTAATATATCTTGTGAAGAAAGGCGCTAAGCAAAATAAACCCTAAAAATCCCTGCCACATATATATATACATCTATTTATCAGTTTATTTAACTATCTATCTCTGTATCTATCTGTGTATCTATCTATCTATCTATCTATCTAATCTCTCTGACCTCGAGGCAGCTGCCTCCCTCCTGAGGGCCGCTGAGGATGGCCGCCTTGCAGAGGCCGGTGTGAACTTGCCAATTAGGGTTCAGGTTACGTTCTGCAAGCCTGCTGCAAAAGGTTTTGGTCTGAGTCTGGGCTCAAAAGAAGGGTTTTTGGGGTGCAAGGCATGTTTTGAGGCTAGGAACGTCCGCGAGGTCCTGGCACCGAAGCCTGAGAAGGATGTCGACACCATGCGCCAGGATCGGGGCATCATCGGGGTACGGAGGGCTTCGATGCAGAAGCTCGGAAGAGAAGCTCGATCGGTTCAGTGCACAGAGAAGAAGAGTAATGTGAACCGGCCGAAGGAGGCAGCACGCGCCCTGCTGACTGCTGCCCAGGACCGGCTTGCTTTTAACCTTCAAGGAAGGGCCCTGAACAGTCATGAGGGTTGCAATCCATGAACGTGGAGATTTGGGGTTGGGTATTTTGCAGGGGCACGGCGGTTTACGTCCAGCGCCAGAATCCGAGAACAGAAGCCTCAACACCTAGCTAAATGCCTTGCTTGATTTCCCACCACCTACATTGGCCACCCATGTCGTCTTGAGAAGGCTTTTTCGGTCCCAAACTTAGACACAAGCCTCTGACGTGATGCTTCCCCAATGATGCTGTTATACTTGGTTGCAAAAGCCTATGAAGCCTAAGTAGCCCTAAGCCCTATCCTACAACCCCAAGCCCTACATTGACCCAAGACCCTTTGGGGTTCCGTTTTCCTTGTTGGGCCGTGGGGAGGATGGACGACTCGAAGCGGCGCTGGCCAAGGAGCTTTGGGCGACTTCGTTTTTTTTTGGGGCGGTTTCCTGTGTTCTCAGTGACTTCTGTACCGTGGGCCCGCCGGCACCTGGGTGTAGGGCTGTGCGTGCAGTACGACCGCCACCGTGATGTTGACCTTTTTTCCACAGTAGAAGTCAGATGAAGTAGATGACTGCTACTTATTTTATTGCTGCGACAATACTATTGCTATAGATTTCGCGACTCCTATTGCGAATACTATTGCTGTTTCTATTACTTATACTCATGACTATTAAAATTGCTATTGATTGCTATTGCTATGACTTACACATATTACTACCGCTATCACTTTGCCATTGCTGTTGCTATCGCATCTTGCATTTTTATTCTTAGTCGTTACTGTTAAAAACCCCCTCTGACCGTTACTAGTACTAATTGCCAGTACGGTTGCTATCGTTCTTTTCTTTACTTTGCAACAGCGACGACGACGACCACGCCTGCTGCAACTGCTACTGCTACACCTACGACGGTGACGACCACAACGACGACTGCAACGACAACTATGACGACAAGATGATGTCTACTAGGACGACGACATACTACTTAGCAATGAGTAGGAGCAAAGAGAGCTAGTTTGACAACTCTTCAGCGATACTCATGGTTCTTACTGTAGGAGTTCTAACCAATGCTAACATCATCACAGTCGGTGCAGCACAGCTTTTTGTGGCTGAAGTGGTCCGTGCCAGAATGCCTGCATCCGACTAGAATGGTGCAGTAGCGTACAGTCAATGTATGGGCGCCAGGAGTCTGTTCCCCAGGCGCGTCGTGTGAGGGTTCTGTCGGTTCTCTGGCACTTTCTGTCAAGACTCCTCAAAGCCGAGTTCTTTCAGTCGTTGCCTGCGATTTGTCATGGAATTGCTCCAGCAGCAGGCAGGTCCCTGCATAGGGACCTGGCAGTCTGACGGAGCTTTTCGTGTGACCGAGAGACATGCCAGCTTTGCCTTTCCAGGCGGGCGGTCCAGGACCCAGTATTTGCAGAGTGGGCTTGCTGTGATGTTTATATGCTGTTATATACGTTTTTCTCGTCAGGATTTAAGAGAATCGATCTGCCATGTTCTGCTTTCTTCTCGTCGGCAAATCTCTGAGGCTAAGGAGCTTTGTCCCCAAGACCCGTATTCAGCCGCACGCTTCGCGCAGACATGCCATGGATTCCGTGCCAAGCGCCCTTACAAACCCTCAAGCTGGGCTCTTGTTAGGTTCCGCAAATCGAGTTACCATAACAAGAGTACGTTGGTTCCTTAGCAAGAGCCTCCAGCAAAGAACCAGGCCCTCCTCCTGTGCCAGAGATCGACGAGGAGGTCCGCAATCTCGCGCGCAAGACCTTCGAGGTGGCACTTCTCAGGGTCTCAGGGTCAACGGAATGTGCCCTGGCATCCGAAATCTTCGAACTTCTAGGCTTGTAGGAAGGACGCGGGACTTGACGCGGGTGCTCGTTTCTAAGACTGCCCTGTCGCTCACAGCTGTTTCCACCACCTGCTCCGGTGTCGCTATGACTGTCAATGCCACGTTGCATCCAGAATAAGACTACTTGACAAGAGCTCCAACACTCGTATCAGCTACGCCCTAAACGTTGGTTGTTAGGTAGTATTGATTAGGCTCAGTATCGGGCAGGGCCTAAAAGTGAGAGCCGGAAACGGTGTTTCGCGGAGAGACTTGGGCCGAGGGATTCAGTCATGCTGCGGTGTTTGTATGTCCTTTTCCGGCTACTTTGCTGTAGACACAGGAATTCCATGACAGGTGAACCAGAGAAAAAGACCCTAGAATCTTGTACTGGTTTCGTTCACTTCATCATATTAATTTCATGCGTTCATTCACTCTGTTCATTCGCTTATAAAGTAATATAATGCGTTCTCTTCACAGTATTAATATAATTAATGGTGTGTGAAGAGAGCGGAGTGAGTGAATAAGCGAATGAATAAAGTACGAAGAGAATATTTTAATGGCGTTTTGTAATGAATGAAAAGGAAGCACGAAAACGCCCATTAAAATATGAACGCAGTGAGACAGGATTTTGGAAGAGGAAATCATTTGTAACCGCTAGAAAGAACTGGGTGATGAATCCAAGGGTCTAGAACTGTGGGCAAAAGACCTAAATTTTATATTCAAAATGGAATGCGTGCGTCCTTGCGTCCTTACCATTACATTTAATATTCAAATTAAGGGCTTTTGGGAAGGTTAACCAGCTATAATACTAAGGGCTCAATGGTCATGATTCCAAGGTGTTACACGGTTATAGCTGGAGAACCTGATGTTGGGCGCTCACTCGTTCTCTCATTAAATGTAATCTGGGGGCCTCCTGGGTTTAAACAAAGGCCCCTAACATCCGTAAAGCTCGTGCGCGTGTGTGCGCGCTGGGGGACGCTGAAACCTTTCGAAGGAGGCTGCGGCCGATGGGCGCCTCGCAGAAGCCCTGAGCCACGCGGCTTTCGGAGGGTTTTCTTGCCGGGTTTAGGGTTTAGGGTGTAGGATTTTAGGGTTTTGGGGTTTAGCGAACTCCGCGTCCGAGCCCGGAGCCCTCAAAACCATGTGGGACTCTGAAGTATGATCCCTTTTGGGGATCCGATGGAAATACGGAGCCTGATATATAGGTTACACTCCAAAAAAGGCAGACATTTTCAAGGATCCCCATGTAGTTCATCCTGCTGGCCAAGGCAAGACGCTGTCTCCCGAACCTCCTGCTCCCCCGCAGGAGCCAGCAGTCTTGTCAGGGTCTCCGGTTTGCCGTTTGTTGTCGGGCTTTGGCTTTGGGATGTAGTGGTGAGGGGTCCGGGGCTCAGCTAGTGTTCAGCCATTCCGATTCCGATTCCTAAATCTTCGGTGAAGTAAGGTTCAACTTTGCATTCTCGGTTCTGAAGACTGTGGGTGTGCCGTTACTGTATGCGGCTTACATCGGATGAGAGCCTTTAGCTGAACGCTTGTGTGCGAGACCTCGGCATAATTGGAAAGTAACTGTGCAACTCCAGTGACGCGCGGCAGCAGGCATCAACAAGCAAGTGTCCTTCCCTGACACTCGAAATTTGAAATCATCTGAAACGTTTCCCCTTGGCTGGCTGAAAAGCAAAAAGAAAACGATATGCCACAGAGATGGTCTCGGAGTCGCCCGCGACCTGGAAAACCAATGAAGCGCCGCCCGCAAAGACAAAAAAGACAACAGGCGGCCAAGGGCGACGAGCAGACTTTGGAGGCGCCTTGTTGGGCAGAGGGCCTTCTTGAGACTGAACAAAATTGGCTTGCAAGAGTAGAGATCCCTAAACGAAGGGTTTGTGGTTTGCGCTCTTCTGAATGCAAGTCTCGCGTCCGCATTCTGGCATACAACAAGCCTATGCAACGTCAGGAACTCCGTGTGGCCGCCAAGGAGAGTGTGCAGCAGACGGTGTTTTTGTTCAGCTTCTGGCCTTGCTTCGGGCTCCGTGCGCTTCTCTTCCGCACTTGCCCAGCTCGGAGCCACCTGCCAGGACACGTTGTTGGCGGCCTGTGCAGATGGGAGTTTGGAGGCAGCCCTGAAGCCGAAGAAAGAGGCGCCTCTATGGAAGCCCTTCTTTGCTGAACCTGAGTGCCTTCTTCCCACAGAATGCCAGGTAGCTGGGCTCCTGGCCGGATGGGCCGCCGACAACTGCAGTACCGAGACGGGCCAGGCACCGGCTTTGCACTCAAGAACACGGCCTTGTCTAGCTTAATTGCCGGCAGTCGCCCGTGCCCGAATCTCTGTCTTTTGCTCAATCCGCCGCTAAGTATGGACCATTGGCTCACGCAGCCTGCTGGGATACAGGTTCCAAGATTGAACGCTGCACTTTGCAGGGCCCCGAAGCCTTGAATCCATGAGGCTGACAGTCGTCCCGAAGCCTTGGCATGCCTTGGCCATATAACGTGTCTCTTTCCCGCTCTTTACCATTTAGGGTGCAGGGTTGAGCTGCAGGATGTCCAGGCCATTAAGGAGAAGGCTGCCGACGCATTGATGAAGGCCCTGGCCATGGAGGCCGGTGTCAACCTGGACGAAAAAACACTAGGTATCGTGGTTTGGAAATGACATCTTCTAGAAGTTTGTAGTCGTTGACTTTACCAAGTCAGATCGCAAAGCAGGAATGCTTAAAGCTACGAACTCTCGTTGCAGTGCGCAGTAGAAGCTTCCAGTGGTACGGTCGTGTCGTGAAGCCCCTCGCTTGCAGCAGGACTAGATATGAGGGCTCCATCACGCGACTATGCAGGGCATACTCCGCCAAATGTTCGTGCATCACTTGCTACGATTGGGTTCGCATTCTGGGGTTCTTGTAGCAGGGAGAGAGCTGAGACAGACAAAGCTGCAGTACAAGAGCCTAAACCGCTCTGAGCCTGTGAGCTTCGTCTATACACCTCCATTCCATAACCTTCCTGAACACCAAACAAACCTCAGAGAAAGCGAGAGAGAGAGAGAGAGAGAGAAGGTGTTCCGAAACCTCAACCCAAAACCCCAGAGCCCACAGCCGGGATGAATAATACATAGGATTGAGGGAGACTCAGCCTTTTGACTTTGCAGATAGAGTTGCATACAGACTTGCTGGAAGAGTAATAGTGTGTTCGGACGCGCGGGCACGATTGTTTGGCACAAGAGATTGTCACGTAGGGCCGGAGAGCTTTGCCTTGCAATTGTTCTGATATTCAAGCCTTTGGATTCAGAATTGTATTGCTTTATTCGAGTATAAGTGATACGCGAGGCAGCCTGCTGTAATAAACAGTTGGCGCTATGTGGCAGCCTTTTATGCGTGATGGTCGATAGTGTGGAGGCCGAGGCATTCTCTGTGCCTCCACCGCCAGAGGTTGGTCAACCACGGAGCCCGGCGACAGCTGTGACATTCCTCGATGCGCCTTCCGATGCCGTCAGACATGAAAATAGCCACCGTAGTCTGGAAGCTTGGCCTCCGAACTCAGGGCACTGGAGGCTTTTTCATGCATATCAGGTGATCGAACTGGTGGCGTCCTCCTTGGCCCTGACGTGTTGGACAGCCATGTGTGTGTTAGATGTGTCCGGGTACTGGAATGTGCCATTCGACTCCGAAGACAGTCTGCTCTCGCATGCTTTGTGCCTTGGTGTTTGGTGTGTAGCTTGTACAGTGTTTGTCGCAAGGCTGAGTAGCATCTGCCGTCAAAGGGACGTGTGGCCAGACTTAAAAACATGCCGGACCAAAGTGGCAGGGCATGGTGGTTTTCGTTGGGAGCTGCTGATGCTTCTGGCAACCCAATGGTCTTTAGTTTCGGGAGCTCTTGCATGGCTCGTCTTCCATGCAGTGAACCAGCGACGGCCACAGGTCATGGCTGGCCTACTGGCTATTTTGGCATTGCTTGCCCTCCTACTTTGCACAGTCGTTAACGTCCTGAGGGAGCACAGAAGGAGGGTGAAAGTGATCTCGGGCACGTCGGTTACGGCGGCTCCACCAAGCCCGAAGGCCGAAGAGAGACCAGCAGCGCCCGACGTGGACTTGAGGAACGATGAGACGCTGCACGGTCGCACCGAGATGGAGCTGTCTTCAATGACTTCAAGCGTTATGCTTGACTTGAACCGGCTGTCCTTCAAGTCGCACAGGTCTTCGGCCAGGTCTTCGGCCAGGTCCTCTACCCATGACCAGGAGGACTCTCTGTCCACGTCCGGAAACTATCTTGGAAAGCTTTGGTCAGATGATGGGTCCGTGTCGAAGCAGTCTGTCCTGAAACAGGGAGTGGACTCCATGGACTCAGACATCTTCGTTGGGCAGTCGGTGTCCGACAAGTCCGACAAATCGTTGAAGCAAGTTGTCTTTGGCGAGATGCCAATACGAAGCAGTCGTGGTCGGTGGAGGCCGCTTTTCCCCAGCATGGCGGAATCTACCTTCAGCCCGTCGGCCTCGATGAGCTGCAGTGTTGCATCTGTTCGAAGACTTGGCTCACAGAAGTTCGTCTTTGAGTCGGAGGAGGATGCGCAGCGGAGCTTGGCCGAGGACATCAAAAGTCACAGCAAGTACCTGTGCCTGGCAGTGCAGACGAGCCCAAAGCTGGATCGCTCGGCGTCACCATGCTTGTCCGGCTTGTCCATGGGAAGTCAGAAGAGTCACCTCTCTGTTCCAGAAGCTGCCAAGGAAGCCTACAGGCGTCCAAGCACCACCAGCGCTATGTCCGATGTCTCTGACTCGAGGGCCAACCTAAGCCAGCAAAGCAGCTTGGAGAGCTGACACAAGCTTGGCTTTGGATCGCAGGACCGACGATTGCCCAGATTCAACCTGCAGAATTCCTGAGCGACACTGAATACATAGTCAGGCAACATGCCTGCAACCTTGTCAAAGGCAGGGTGCTATACTGTCTTGTTCTCTACGCGTGCTGAAAAACGTTGCACAGCTCCCAAGGGCCCAGTGGCCGAGACGAATCGCACCTGTTTGTATGCATGCTTCCTCACATCCGAACATGCCCCAAGAAGCCCTAAAGCTCGAACAGCCTCAACCCAGAACAGCCAAACCCTTAAACCCCCTCAACCCCGAAAGCCCTCCCAAACTCGAAGCCCTAACCCTGAACCAAAGAAACCGCCCTAAACCCTAAACGCTGCACACGCTAAACGCATAAAAAGAGCAAGCCTGTCGTCCAGGAGCCCGCCGAGGCCGCGCCCGCCGAGGCGTCCCTCAAGTCGGTTCCCGAGCCCGAGGCGCTTTTTGTCAGGGTTGTTTAGGGGCAGTGATATAATACAACACAATATAATATAATAAAGTATAATTTAATTTAATACAATATAATATATCGTATAATATAAAATATAATAGAATAGAATCTAAAAAATATTGTTTAATATATATATATATATATATATATTCTGTTATGTTTTTTTTTTTTGGGGGGGGGGGGGGGGCAGGGTTAGTTTTTCTTTCTTCAAGGGGCTGGGGATTTTAGGTTTAGAGAGTTGTTTTCTTAAGGGTTTCCGTATTGATGTTATTATTATTATTATGATTATGATTATTATGATTATTTTTAATTTAATTGTATTTTTTTTGGGGGGGGGGGGGGGGGGGGGGCGTTAGGGCTCTCTCTGGGGGGGCTTGTGGTTCAGAGGCTTTTTGGGTTTTAGGGTTTAGGGTCTTTTTTGGAGCAAATATGGTTGTCAGGGCTTTGCTCTGGGTTTAGGTCCTTTTGGGGCCTGTAGGGGTTTAGGGGCTTTTGGGGTTGTCAGGGGTTGGGGCTTGTTTGGGGTTTTAGGTTTTTTGGGTTTCTTTAGGGTCTCGGGCTGTTTGGGTTTTTAAATTTTGGGAGTGCGAACCCGAGTGTGAGAGAGCGAGAGCGATGGCGAGACAGGGAGAGCGAGATCGAGACAGGGAGAGCGAGACAGGGAGAGAGCGAGAGAGAGAGAGAGAGGGAGGGAGCGAGACAGAGAGAGTGAGAGAGAGAGAGCCCTCAGAGAAGAAGAAGAAGAAGAAGAAGAAGAAGAAGAAGAAGAAGAAGAAGAAGAAGAAGAAGAAGAAGAAGAAGAAGAAGAAGAAGAAGAAGAAGAAGAAGAAGAAGAAGAAGAAGAAGAATAAGAAGAAGAAGAATCAGCAGAAGAAGAAGAAGAAGAAGAAGAAGAATAATAATAAGAAAAAGAATAACGGTCCCAGAGCGGGTATTTAGGGCTATCATTGAAGGCCAGCCTTCCTGCTACACGCGGCTAGTGAACGCTCCTCTGCAGTGATTCCTTGTCCTCTCGTGTTGAGTGGAAGGCCATGGCACCTCCACCGCCACCTCGCGAAGACCAGGCTGAGCTCAACATCCACGATGTGAAGGTGCAGAAGGTTTTTAGGGATATCGGCCAGCCTGGACCCTCACGAAAGTTTACACCAGCCCCCATCCCTCCCGATTTTCCGGCATCACAGATGTCGATGCCTCGCATGCGCGCAAGAGCATTTGCAGCTCCGGGTTCAGGGATCAGGGTTCTGGTCTTCTGTGCCCTGGCGGAGGCCCGAGCCTGCGATGCGCTGCACAAGGTCCTTGGGCTGAGGGTTGAAACCGAAGCCTACAGCCTCGGGGCAGTCAGAGCTACAATCCGACTTCAACTTGGACCAAATCGGCAAATACAGGTCCCATGTGGACCGCAAGCTTCGGCCCATGATGCGGTGGCTGTTCCAAAGTCACACCACTTTAACCATGGATCAGCATGACTTGCCCTGAAGCACGAGGCTTCTTTGTGTCACCGTCGAAAAACCGTTGCGCCACACGTGAAAGATCCGACGCTCACAGTGGCTACCCCGGAGGCCTTGGGCCTTGAGGGCGAGGATCCAGTAGACCTGGACGACGTCAAGGCCTTTGGGCCTTCGTGCATGATGTGGGGGGGGCTTTCGGGGACTGGGTTTTGAGGCTTTGCCATGGGAAGGACCGAGGCAGGTGCTTGGGCAATGGATGCAGGCATCTCAAAACATTCATGTCGATCCAAGGCAGCGCGAAGGTGCTGCGTACTGCCCGGAAGTTGAATTCGCGGCAACGTCGAACATGAGAGTGTGTCATGCCATTGTTAGATTGATGCATCGAGGCGCGAGCTGCCGGGGCACTTGAGAAAGCCTTGGGCGTCTCAGAATCAGCGGCCTCTTCAAAGGCAGGCTGGAGATGAAGAGATTCGAGATCACATCGTTTTGCTTGAGTGTTCACACATCGACGACGGTCCGTGGCACCTCTAGTTCGCAAGCAGCAAGCAGTCTGTCTGCGTATTTCAGCGTGCGAAACTAGGACTTGCCACCTGCCGAGCCGTCCCCGGCGCAGCCATCATTGGTGTCTGAAGTACAGGAGATCACAAGGCATGGAAGTGGTGGTGGTTGTGCTGCATTTGCTTCGTCTAAAGTCGCTCCACACTAAGGGGCTTCCTGCCTTTGCCAGGCAAGTGAAGGAGGAACTTGGCAAGTTCCAAGGAGAAGTCTGCGGTCAGCTTCAGGACTGCGTTACCGTGCTCGCGCCGCCCGTCGGCCGAACTCTGTTGTGGAATTCTGGAAGCTCGCCTGGCTTGTTCGAGAATGAGCGTCGATACTGTCGACACTCTAGACCCGCAGACCCATTCAGAATGTAACCAACAACTTCTGGAAAGACGGCATTTAAGCATTCTGTCCATTTGCCAGCATTTCAACTGCCTGCCCGATTTGTTCCAGGACCTGAAACTTCTCTCCAGCGAGGTGCGCAAGGATGTCGAGGACATCGTTGATGCGTTGGCCTTTTGCTTCTGGATGCCTCATACATTGATCCTGGAAGTGGATGGACAAAGTGCAGATCATCAGTATCATCAGTCGTGTGCAGTGCGAGCCCCTTGGAAAGCCAAGGGCCTGAAAGTCCTTCTGTGACCAGCGTGGAATCATCTGAAAGCTCCACGCAACACGCCGCGGTGGGAGGACCTCCGCAATCAAGTGGCGGAGGCCAAGCGGGAGGCCACCGGATCGACGTGCCTTGTCTTCGTGCTGAGAGCCTTGTGAATAATCGGGGGACCTCTGCAGTCCAGTCTCCGAGTCTGGCGGAAAAAGCCTGAGGTTCGGCGCCACAACGGTGACTAGCATCAAGCCTGAGGCGACGGCTCTGCGCTCAGGCTGTGGGTCTAATGTCCCAAGGTGGAATCGAGATTTCTGCTGCTAGGTGTTTTGGAGAGCAAGATGTCTTGCACAAAGGTCCCTGAAACCGGCCCTCCTCAGAATCGAAATCACAGCCAACTCTTGAAGTTAGCTTTGGGGGTTCTTAAGGTCAACAGTCACACATGATTCAGCTGCGGCCAAGGACCCTCTGCAGGACCTTGCCGGTGGGAGTCTCGCAGACCTCGAGAAGAAGATCCGGGAGCGCAACGATCGCTTCAGGCATTTCCCATAAACCCTAAAACCAACAAATTGTCCAAAAAGGGTTTTGGGTTTAGGGTGTCGGGTTTGCAGTCAGGCCAGAGACTCAGTGCTGGGTTTAGGGCAGCTGCATAAACCCCATATCGTGCTCTCTAGTCACTTATCCTCACGTGCGAAGCAGTTTAACCGAGACTTGGTAAGGATACAGGATACATCTAGATCCTGGAGTTCCAAACATCGCCAAAATCCTTTGAGCAACTTCTGGCAACACTGCTCCCGCCAAACCCTCTGGACTCTTGACCCAACTCTTGGAGCGGAGGCGCGAGAATGCAGCCATGCGGGAAGAGCCCCTTGGTGGATTGTGGGCGACGAAATAGGTTCCCGAACTGCTTGAGCCTGCGGCACCAACTAGGGTTTACATACGCATCGAAGCCCTATAAAATTACAGGGTTTAAATTGCTTTCTGGGCATGGTTACTGTATCAGATCATTCGTAGCGCATGTGCCAGGAGATCATAACCGAGTGCCCGAGCTGGGTTGTCATTCCACGCTCTCGCAGCCAGACCTTGCTGGTGTTTGTACGGCGCTGTCGTAGAGCCGCAGGCAATTGGGTTAGGAATAGGGTTATGTGCAGGGTTCAGAATTCAAGCCTGTTGGAAAAAATGTGGCTGAGGGCCGTGAGGGCCCAGGCCGGGCGAGAAAACTCGACGGGCAAAGAACGAAGTGGCCCACGCCAGCACAGACCTGAAGTGAGGAGGTGCCCGGGAGAATCAAAGGGTGGACCTCAAGGTTCAGAATGAGGCTTGGGCATCATCGGCTCTTGGAGCTAAATCGGAGAGGATGGCTGGAGTGCATCCGGGTGCCCTGGAGGTGAACCCCCAAATTCCACAGAACGCGCCCGCATCTGAGGAACGCCCGCCTGAAGATGATGGGTCCCAAGGCTGACTGAGCAGCCAAGGGTGCGTTGAAGGAGGCATGTCGAATTTTGCTTCTGCCTGATCACCTCCTGAAGACACCCAAAAAACTCATATCTGCAAGGTGCCAGGGGTCTAATAGTCTAAGATACTATCGTATCTTCAAGGTGCCAGAAAGGGGGTTTGACCCAGATTGTTCCAGATTGGTGTCGAGGACAGCAGGCTGGAGCTTCGGGTCACCAAGACCCTTCCCACCCGCAACGTGGGGCCGAAGACAGCACGGGTTTAGGGTTTAGGGTTTAGGAAGTTTAGGGTAATGGAATGAAGAGCCTCAAGCTGCTCATTTTCCTGCTCTCTTTTGGCCCTTGTGATGCACATGCGACCATCCGTGTTGACGTTTGACCAACGTTTGCACCTGCTTGGATCGGCATGCACCGGTGGAGGCCAAGTGCCAAGGACCAAAGAAGTAGGAATCAGCACTCACAATAGAAACAAGCAA